TTACCCCTGAGATACATCCCCAGACTTTTTTTTTTTATACATCTATATGTATATTTTAGTTGTAGGTAGACACAATACCTTTATTTTATTTGTTTTTATTTTTATATGGTTGCTGGAGATTGAACCCAGTGCCTCACACATGCTAGGAAAGTGCTCTACCACTGAGCCACAGCTCTGGTCCCCCATCCCCAGACTTTTTAATTTATTTTATTTTTTTTAAAAAACATTTATTTTTTAGTTGGACACAATACCTTCATTTTATTCATATATTTTTATGTGGTGCTGAGGATCGAACCCAGGGTCTCACATGTGCAAGGTGAGCGCTCTACCGCTGAGCCACAACCCCAGCCCCTTATTTTTTTTCTTTTCTTTTCTTTAAAGAGAGAGAGAGAGAGAGAGAGAGAGAGAGAGAGAGAGAGAGAGAGAGAGAGAGAGAGAGAATTTTTTAATATTTATTTTTCAGTTCGCGGCGGACACAACATCTTTTTTTGTATGTGGTGCTGAGGATTGAACCCGGGCTGCATGCATGCCAGGGGAGAGTGCTACCTCTTCAGCCACATCTCCAGCCCCCCAGCCCCTTATTTTTTATTTTGAGGTAGGGTCTTATAGTTTGCTGAAGGTCTCATTAAATTGCTGAATTTGCAATCTTCCTACCTCAGCATCCAGAGGGGCTGGAGTTAATGGAATGTGCCAGTATACCCAACTTGAGAGTAATCATTTAAAAAAAATATTGATTTTTTAGTTGTATTTGTCAATATCTTTATTTATTTTTATGTGGTGCTGAGGATTGAACCCTGGGCCTTGCATGCACTAGGCAAGTGCTCAGTGCATGCAACTCCAGCACAACCCTCCCCCCCCCACCCCCCCACCCCGGCCGCAGAGTAATCTGGCATGGAGATATCTTATTGTGGATTTGATATGCATTTCCCTGATGATTAGTAATATTGAACATTATTTCATATACTTTATATGCCTTCTTTTGAGAAGTATCTACTTAAGTCTATTACCCATTAGCAGACCATTTAAAAAAATAAGTTTTTTTTTTGTTGTTTGTTTTGTGTTTTCGGTTGCTGCATTTTTGTAGTTCGTTATATAATCAGAATATCAACCTTTTGAGATGTATGGATTATAAATTTTCTGTCATTCTATAGGTTGTTTCCTTACTTTAATTTTAGTGTTTCTTTTATTACTTTTTAGCTTAATGTAATCCAGAGTTTTACTTTTGTGATATTGTCCAAAATATCCTTGCCTATTCCAATGAAGTCTTTGTGTAGAAATGAGGCACAGTGATCTGGGTGCATTGACACACCTGTAATCTTAGCTACTTGGGAGGCTGAGGCAGGAGGGTTGCAAGTTTGAGGCCAGCCTGGGCTATATAGTGAGACCCTATCTTAAAAAGAAAAAAATGAAGTGTAGTAGTAAGACCATGCTCATAGAACTCACAAGTTTTACCTTATCCCCTCATATAGAAGTCACTGGTCTGATAAAATAGTAGGATGGCCTTTTAAAGAGTCATATATGGCACCAGGTGACATATGGCATACCTTGTGAGGCTGAGGCAGTGTCCTCCGCAATTCAATATATATCTGACAATGATATAGTTGGTACACTTTATTCTATAGTCTGGATTCATGGGTCTGGGATTAAGGGCTGATAATAAGGGTGACCTCATTCAATATTATCCCCAGAGATCCACTAGTAAACTTTTTGCTTCCTTTTCCTGAGACTTTGGATTCTTCTAGTCTAGAAGTCTTAGTTCCAAAGGAAGAAATGCTCCCTCCAGAGGACACAACAATTATTCCATTAGGCTGGAAGCTGAGACTACCATCTGGTCACTTTTGAGTTCTGCATGCCAATGGGTCAACAGGGGTTATTGTATTTGCTGGAATGATTCACCTTGACTACAAGGGGGAAATTGGGTTGCTACTGCACAAAGGGGTTAGGAAAAAGTATGTGTGGAGTGTAGAGGATATCTGGAATGCCTAGATTTTAATCTCATGTCCTGTGATTAAAATCTAGGTTGAAACTAGGACAACCCAGTTCTGACAGGACTGCTAATGACCCAGACCCTTCAGAAAGGCAGGTTTGGGTCACCCTACCAGTCAAGGAACTATTACCAGATGAGCGCTTGTTGAAGGCAAAGGGACTATGACATGGTTTTAGCAGTTATAAATGTCTGCTGTGATAGGTCACATTCATAAAAGTAAAGACTGTGGGGCTGGGTTGTGGCTCAGTGGTATAGCACTTGCCTAGCACATGTGAGGCCCTGGGTTCAAACCTCAACACCACATAAAATAAATAAATTTTAAAAATAAACCATAGTAGCTATAATGAAATTTTTAAAAAAGTGAAGACTGTGGTAGTCACCAGTTTTATTTATTTATTTTTTTTTTAGACTTTTTAATATTTATTTTTCGGCAGACACAACATCTTTTGTTTGTATGTGGTGCTGAGGATCGAACCCAGTGCCTCACACATGCCAGGCCAGTGCGCTACCACTTGAGCCACATCCTCAGCCCCATAGTCACCAGTTTTAAACTGAGAAAATTGCTCTGAACACATTAGTGATTGCACGAACCTGTGAGTGTTTTATAGAATTTACTTACTTCTAAGATTTATTTTTGAACTTAGATTTTTCCAAAAAGAAAAATGTTTTACATTTTTTATTAGTGCATCACAGTTATACATAATAGCGGGGTTCATTTGGACATAGTTGTAAATGCATGTAACATAGTTTGCTTCATTTCAATCCCTAGTACTTACTGTTTCCCTCTCCTTCTCCTCCTTCCTGACCCCCTTCCTCTAAGGAAAATAACTTTAAAAAAACTACCCTTTTATTACCTTTAAGCACATTACATAATATTAAAATAAACCAATTAAATGTTGTCTGCTAGAGGGTTTTTTTTTTTTTTTTGTACTGGGGATCAAAACCAGGGGTGCTCTACCACTGAGTTATACATCCCAGCCCTAACCCTTTTTATTCTTTGAGACAGTATCTCACTAAGTTGCTTAGGGTTGACAGTATCTCACTAAATTGCTGAGGCTGGCCTTGAACTAGCAATCCTCCTGCCTTAGATTTCTGAGTTGCTAGGATTACAGGTGTGGGCCATTGCACCTGAATAGAGGTGTCTTTTTTGGTAGCGGGTACTGGGTATTGAACTCAGGGGCACTCAACCACTGAGCCACATCCCCAGCCCTATTTTTTATTTAGACTTGCTTAGTGCCTCATTTTTGATGAAGCTGGCTTGAACAAGTTCCTCCTGCCTAGGCCTCCTGAGCCGCTGGGATTACAGGCATGGGCCACTGTGCCCAGCTTAGAAGTTTTGATTTAATATTTTATACATTCAAATTAGCACATCAAAATATAGCTGCGGTAGTAGGGCTCAGGTCGTGGCTCAGTGGTACATGCATGAGGCAGTGGGCTCAATTCTCATTACTGCATATAAATAAATGAATAAAATAAAGACCCATCAACAACTAAAAAAATATTTTCAAAAAAGTCTATCTAAAGCAGGGATGGCTTCCTATTAGTAATCATAGCCCTTTATAAATGTCTCTAGTGCAGTACTCATCAACTTCTATTACAGTTATTTGTTCACTGATATAGTTTTCAGGCTAGACTACAAACTCCATGTAGGCATTCTCTCTCTCTCTTCCTCCCTCACTTTTTTTCTTCCTTCCTTCTATCCTCCCTTTCCTTTCCCTTCCTCCCTCCGTCCCTCCTTTCCATTTGCCAGTGCTCCGGTAATGTCCAGATTTTAGAAATACTCTATCTTGGAAAAAAGTAAGTTTTCAGTGTGGTATGGTTTATAAGAATAAATGAATATATGAACACTCAATCAGTTAATGACTATAGCAGGGCATAGTGGTGCATATCTGTAATTCTAGGTACCCAGAAGGCTGAGGCAGGAGAATCACAAGTTCTAAGCAGCCCAGGCAACTTAGTGAGACAGGGTCTCACTAAAATAAAAAAAACTTAAAAAAAAAAAACCCAAAAACTGTAGGATGTTAAGTTTAGTGATAGAGTGCTTGCCTAGCATGCACTAAGTCCACATGTTCAATTTGCAGCACTGCAGGAAAAAAAAAAAAAGATGACTGTATGTAACCATCCTTATGATCATTTAACAATGTTGTTAATAAAAATAATTTTGGAATCAGAAATGAGGCTTTAAAAACTGGCTGTGCAAGTTATTATTTGTTTTTCCAGTTTCCAAATCATTTTATTCATAATTTTGTGTTTGTTTCCTGAATCAATAAATACTATACAAAACAATGTAAAAACGGCTACCATTTTCTCTCCCCTGCTCCTCTCACCTGAGAACAATCCCATGGGCAACCTTACTTAGAGGTTCTCCATGCAGATTTGGTCCAGCAAATGAGGTTGTGACGTTATAACCCCTTAAATCATTTTCAGAGGGATTCAAGTGGGGTGGGAGAGCCTCTGGGATCTGGAGGTGACTAGGTTAGGGGCATGGATTAATGTTTTCTGGTAGGAGAGGCGCCTGGAACAAGAGCCTACCCCAAAGAAAAGAGTGTCTAAAATGTTCACCATTCCTTCTTTTGCCTCAAAAAGTGACATTTATTCAAAGAAAAAAGACAAAATAATGAAAAGATGTCCATCCCTTGACTCCCTTCCCTCTCTTCTAACTGCTCCTTAGCCCCTAGGATTGAACCCTGGCTGGAACTAGGTAGCAGGACAACCCCTCTCAGATGAGGTCAGCAACATTGAGGGGCATCTCTTCAATGGAGGTGTTGTAGAAGGTCTCCGTGTCTGGAAGAGTTCTCTTGTCTTCTTCTGTCACCATGTTAATAGCCATACCCTTACATCAAAAACACCTACCTTGACCAATTCTGTGGATATAGTTTTCCCTATTGGTGGGAAGGTCATAGTTGATGACTAAAGAAACCTGCTGCACATCAATGCTTCTGGCCTATGTCAAGAAAGATGGTAAATTCATCCTTTGAATTGAGGATGTGATCCATCAGAGGGACTTAAATATGCATGTAGGCAGTCAAAGAAATGCAAGAGAAATCAAGTATCCTTTGTTTCCCAAAGACCTTAGGCATGCCAGGTTTTCTTCCAAATTGCTACTTTCCTAAGAGAGGCACTAATTGGCCCTAAAGAGAGGAAATCACCTAATGAAACTTATTATTAAGCATTAGGTGCCTGACTTAGCCTCTCAGAGTCTCAATTACCTTTTTTTGCAAAATAAGATAACTTCTCATAGTAATATTATGAGGATTGAGACAACTGTCACAGTGCTTGGCTTAGAATAGGAGCTCAATAAAAGATATATATATATATATATATATATATATACACACACACACACACTACATATGTCCAGGAGTAATTAAATAAGACTTTGAGTTAATTATTTTAATTTCTGTATTATTTATTATAATTATTAAGAAAACAGAAAGCAATGTATGAAACTCTGGCTCATAATTGGATTTTATTTATTTATTTAGCAGTTCTGGAGATGGAACTCAGGAACCCTTTAATACCATTGAGCTCCATCCCCACCCTTTTTATTTTATTTTTTTAAAAATATTTTTAGTTGTAGATGGATATAATAACTTTATTTTATTTATTTTTGTATGTGGTGCCGAGGATCGAACTCAGTGCCTCACATGTGCTAGGCAAGCGCTACACCACTGAGTCACAATCCCAAATTTTTCATTTGGAGACAGGGTCTCGCTAAACCGTCTGGATGGCCTCAAATTTGAAATCTTCTTGCCCCTGTCTCCCAAATTGCTGGGATTACAGACTTGCAACATAACATCCAGCCCATAACTGGCTTTAATAAAAAAACAAAACAAAAAAACCTAGAGTGTTCTTATAGATATTAGGCAAGCTTCCTCAAAATTTGACATTTGAGAAGTCCTCATTTATAAAATGACTGGTTCAAAACTGGCCTATAGCTGGGCACAGTGGCAAATGCCTGTAATCAAAGCGACTTAGGATGCTGAAGCAGGAGGATCACAAGTTTGAAGCCAGATTCAGCAATTTAGCAAGGCCCTAAATAACTTAGTAAGACTCTGTCTTAAAGTAAAAAAATAAAAAGGGCTGGGGATGTAGCTCAGGGGTAATGTGCTCCTGGGTTCAAGCCCCAGTGCCAAAAAACAAAACAAAAAGCCCAAATCTAGCCTATGTATAATCAGAGGATTGTTAAAAGATCAAATAGCTGGGGTTGGTGGTACATGCCTATAATTCCAGCAATTTGGGGCCCTGACACAGGAGTATCACAAGTTTGAGGACAGTGTTGGCAATTTGGTGACACTCTCATCAATTTAGGTAGCCCCGTCTCAAAATTAAAAAAACAAAACAAAACAACAACCAAAAAAAACACTGCGGATGTAGCATAAAGCATCCATGGATTCGATCCCCAATCCCTATTACCTACCCTACCAAAAAAAAAAAGAATCAAATATACAAATGAGTTTTACAAATTGTAAGGTGTTAAAAATGCCTGTTAATTTTATATTTACACTCTGAGTTCTTCAACTGCAATTGATTGTGAAAGTATTAGACTTGGGGTATATATAGCTCAGTGGTAGAATGTTCACTTGGAATGTGTGAGGCCCTGGATTTGAAAACTAACCCTCCCCCCACATACACAAATTAAAATTGCTATACTAATATGCAGTTTTACCATATACATATTTTATATTATCATTATTATTTTAGTTGTCAGTGGACTTTTATTTTATTGATTTACATGAAGTACTGAGACTTGAACCCAGTGCCTCACACATGCTAAGCAAGCACTCTACCACTGAGCTACAACCCCAGCCCAGTTTTACCTTCTCATTCATTTTTCTTTTCTTTCTTGCATTGCTGGGGACTAAACCCAAGGCCTTGACTTACTGGATGAACATTCCACCACAAGCTATGCCCACAGCTCATCCTTGTCCATTTTCTTTCTTTCTTTTTAATATTTTTAAATATTTTTTAAAGTTATAGTTGGGCACAATACCTTTATTTTGTTTATTTATTTTTATGTGGTGCTGAGGATTGAACCCAGGGGCCTCACGTGTGCTAGGTGAACGCTCTACCACTGAGCCACAACCCCAGCTCTCCTTGTCCATTTTCTAAAGAAAAATCATAGCCATTTATTTCTCAAACTTAATAGGAGGCCTGATGACTTAATGTTACAAATTCATAAAATTGATCCTGGGGGACATAGATATTCAAACTGCCAAAAGTTTTATATATATATATGTTTTTTTTTTAACATGTTGATGGAATTTTATTTATTTATATGCAGTGCTGAGAATTGAACCCAGTGCCTTACACATGTCAGGCAAGTGCCCTACCACTGAGCCACAGCCCCAGCCCCCAACTGCCAAAAGTTACACTCATTAGCATACTTTTGCTTACTGAAAATCTACCATTGGCTCAAGTAGATAGAAACTTAAATAATCAGTGACAAACTTGATCAGGCACCTAACCGCCATTAAATTTTCCCATGACCTTTCCCTCAGAGTTCAGCATGACAGCCCTTTGCATGAACAAGCTGAGATGGCCTTGGGCAGATTAGGGACAATTGACTTTACATGTTTATGTGAGGTGGGAGTTTTTTATTTGTTATTTTTTTGATGTGGATTCACAGTTAACAGTTCCTAACTTAGCTGCATATTATAATCCTCCAGGAATCCACCCCAGACAAATGAGAAAAATAATATTAGAAGGAACACCTCACCCAGCAGGATGGTACACACTTAATCCCAGCTATTGGGGATGCAGAGACAGGAGGATGGAAAGTTGAGGTCAATCTTGGCAACTTAGCAAGACCCTGTCTCAAAATTTAAAACAAACAAACAAATAAATAAATAGGGTTAGGGTGTAGTTCAGTGGTAGAGAGTCCCTGGGTTAAATCTCTAGTACCAGGAAAAAGAAAAAAAAAATAATCAAGGAGGAATCCTCAGCAACAGTATTTGAACAAATTTCAGGTTCTTCTTATGCAGTCAATTGATCAAGCCCCTCTGTCTGTGGACCACTGGCAATCTCTGGTTCACCTTGCCTTAGTATTTTTTCCCTCTTATTCACTTTTAAGTGCTCTTTCTTTTGCTAGTAGTTCTGTATTTCCCAGGGTCCCCAATGTCAGGATGAAGTCTATCTGATATGTCATTGACACCCTAATGTGACTTAGTTTAATGTGCTATTTCTTCAGAAATGCTAATGGTGGGATTTGAGACTCTATGATAGCCTGGGGTGGGGGTGGTTGAGAGAGGAAGGGCTTTGTTTCCTGACCCCACAAATGACTACTTAGGGAATAGCTTCCTTTTACCTATCCATAAAGTCAGCCATACATATAAATTATGCCTCACTCTACAGAGATGAATTTCAGGAAGGTGGTGCAAATGAAATCAACGGAAAATCTAGATAGGACCCTAAATTTTTTTTTCTTTTACATTTTTTTTTTAGTTGTTGGTGAACCTTTATTTTATTCATTTATTTATATGTAGCACTGAGAACTGAACCCAGAGCCTCACACATGCAAGGCAAGTGCTCTACCACTGAGCTACAACCCCAGCCCAGGACTATTTGCTAGTCCCTATTGAACAAAACTTCTTCATTTTTTCTTCTTTTAATTAAAGGTGTGCGAGAGAGTTTTCTTAGCAAATAGAGGATTACTTCCACTGGAATTATTCAACATACTCTGGCTTTCCATTTGGCAGGGAGATTGCAAAGGGGATTAAATTGGATTAGAATCTTTCAATAATCTTTAATATTTTTTCTATTCCTCTGATATAGCAAAGATTATTACTCTTCATCAGATATTTCTCCAGTTTATGACAAGTAGGATTAAATTCTTTACTTTTTACATGTGTATGTTAGATGCTTTTAGTTTGATCTTTTCCTAGGAGCCCTTGTCCAGGTTGCCATACTTAGAAAGGGCCTTTCAGAATGGTAACGTTTATATAGATACTCCATATAGCTCTTGAAATTGCTCTTCTGGTACAGGCCCTGCTCTTTTCTTCTTTGAGTTACTTTATCAGTCCTCTAACTATGTCTGGTCTCTTGTCTTTTTTGTGTGTGTGTGTGTGACACTGGGGGTTGCACACAAGATGTAGTGCATGCTAGGTAAGCACTCTACAGCTGAGCTATCTCCCTGGCCCTGGTCTATTGTCTTTCTGCAATCCCTCCTTCAAACTTTGCCAGAATTGAATTTCTTTCTTTTTTTTTTTTTTTTAAAGAGAGAGTGAGAGAGAGAGAGAGAGAGGGAGAGAGAGAGAATTTTTTTAGTATTTATTCTTTAGATTTCGGCGGACACAACATCTTTGTATGTGGTGCTGAGGATCGAACCTGGGCCGCACGCATGCCAGGCGAGCGCGCTACTGCTTGAGCCACATCTCCAGCCCCAGAATTGAATTTCTAAATGCCAATCTGTTTATATAACTTTTCTATTATAGTGGGTAGCCCATCATTATCCAGATAAAGTTCAAATGTGTTAAAATGAATTCCTGAGGCTTTTTAATGATCTGATATCCATTAGACTTTCCAAAATTCTCATTATGATAGTATTCCTTCTACAAACCATTTGTAATTCCTTGAATTCTCCGGGTTTTCTTAAGCCTCTGTTTTGCAAAAACTGTTCCTTCTGCCTGGGATAGCAGTAGCTCTTTCATTTTGAAGTCAACTTTTTGTCATCTTTCATTCCATAACTACGTTAAGTGTTCCTCTATTGAAGTCCAATGATATCCTGATATACCTTCACTGTAGTAGTAATTACAATGTACTGCAGCTGATTTTCATGTTTTCCATACTAGACAACCTTTAAAGTAAGGACAACTTTCATTTATAGATTTCTCTAACACACAGAAAATGCACATAATAAATATCTCTGAAGTTAATGACCCTTTAAATAGATGAATCCTAATTTGATTTCATTATAAAGCATGAGGTCAAATTTATAGTCAGCTAACACAGTCAACAACAGAATGTAAAGAATGGAAAAATAATAAAAACTGTGCAGGGAATAACCCTAGGGGTCAGATCACATAAGGGAGGGCATACTGCTGGACATGGTGGTGCACACCTGTAATTCCAGCTACTTGGGATGCTAAGGCAGAAGGATTAAGAATTCTAACCCAGCCTCGGCAACATCAGCATACAAATTCTGAACAAAGACCCAGAA